CTGCCAACTGCTTCTTACTCACACCACCTCATTTCCTGAGTTCAGCATCTTACCTCCCACTGCTCCAGGTTCTGTGCTGCCACAAAGAAACACCCAGCCATATAGAAGAGCTTCCATGCCAAGCTGTCTGAACAATGCAAAAAATACACAAATTTAGCTTTTTTTTCCCCTTCTTCTTTGTTATTCAGACAGTTCTAAAAGCAGCATGCTCCCTTTAAAGGCAATAAAAGGAAAAAAAGGTTTCTCAGATGGAACATTTTTTTGCCTTTAGTTGTACTACAAGCTATTTTACAGCTCTCAGGATGAAAATAGAGAAATTCTTCACATTTTTTTCAGAGACTTCATTCACACTGGGCTTCAAACCACATAGAATTATAAGCATATGTTATTATTGACAAGGTTGTAACATTGCATCTTTCTCTTCTCTAAAAGCAAAGGCATCTTAAAAGACATTCACAAAACTGCCAACCCGCTGTCAACCACCAAGTATTTGGGCTGCAGAGGACAAGGGTAAGGGACAATGAAAATTCACTGAAGCAAACATGTTTCTGCATAAAAGGAAGCAGTTGGCCCTCCTGACAAACAAACATTTGCATTTTACGTCCTGGAAATGTTTACATACAGCAGCCTGAGCAATTTGCTTACTCAGGTTTTTAGAGCAGAACTGTGCTCAGGATTGTTTCACAAAACTTTGTTGCAATGTCTTAAAATAAACAAGGCTGGTTTAGCTGGTGGCTCAAGCAGCTTTCACTCTATTTTGCTCTTTCATTAACAATACATGGATTACATTGGCAGCATATTCCTACACACCATTAAGTTTTAAAATTGGATGTTAACAGGATGCAGCAAGAGAATGACAGGGCAGCTTCCAGGATAAATCCCAGAGATGGAAGGAGAGTTGGCATTTGGTGCAGTCTGCTCTGCTGCAGGGGGGGAAGCAGCAGGAGCTGTCTGATCTCTGAAGGTGTCTGAGTAATCTCTGCCAGTGATGATCTGACAGTTTCCAGAGAAACAGAGCACTTCAGTCAAAGGCAAAGGAATCATTTCATTATGGGGGCAAATAATCGCTGTGTGTCTTCCCAGGAGAGCTGTGAGGACCAGCTAATCACATTTACAAATCACACACAGTACTAAATAGCATTATTAAAAATACTCTTGCAAATGGAAAGGGAGGCTGAGTAAGAAATAGAGCATTAAAGCACAGTAAGTCATGCAGGCAACAATTATTATTGGTTTTAATATTCATGTCACGAAGTGGGACAGGTACCTCCACTGCCTGTGTAAGGCCTGACAGAAGCTGCACAGGAGTCATCAGCATGAAAAACAGATCAACAGGAAAGAAACAATCCTCAAAAAAAATTAAAGGGCATTACCTGCACTGTAATAAGCAGCAGCCAAACCTATGGAGGCTATACCTAGGAGGAAAGAGGGGAGAATTAGAACAACAGACAAGTCTAAAATTCCCTGATGAAAAACATAACTTTTCAAAAAAAGGACAATTGTGATTGCAACATGAATCACTGTATGAAAGTCAGTTATTTTTTTTTTCTCCAAACCCAGAATAAAAAATCTTGTGTTCTGCAAAGGCACTAAAAGTGCACGGGCCGAGGTCAGACATAAAAATGCTGTGACACAACTGGGAACAGAACCTCAGAGGGACTCAGTGTAACCATTACACCACACTTCCTCTCAGCACAGCACAACTTGGAGCCTGCTGACACAAACACTGCAACCGTTATTTGTCCCTTTAAGTGCCCCGTGGAGCCAAAAGAAAACTTCTGCAATGAAGTTGTGTCAGAAGCTGCCAGCTCCTTTCTCCCAGGGAGGGGGAAGCAGCTGAAGGGTCCCTCGTGCCCCAGAGGCTGCAACTGCAAAGATCTTGGCTCGACATCACTGAAAGCAATGACAACCTCGTGGTGTCACTCAGCTGGAAAGCAGGATATGTCACATTTTCCCCACCAGCTCTCTCAGGACAGCCCTAAGTAGTTTATTTTTTCTGTATATTAGTGTTTATAAAGATGCCTTTCAGAACATCCTGTATGACTTCCCATTTCATACACAGCAGCGTTAAGAGTTCACCACCAACCACACACGAGATCCAACCCCAGCACGGCCACACTGCAGTTTTCCATTTCTGAAAAATGAGACCTAAGAATGCAGCCCCTTCAGAAGCTTCCCATTTATGTGCCTATATGGCATCTGATTTTCTGTTCTTGCTGTTTCAGGACTCCCTTGAAATTTTGTTCACGAGCTCCTGAGGTTCTGCAGATGACAGGCTGAAAAACGAGCAGTGTCACAGTGAGACTGCCACGCTGAGGAGGAGACCTCAGACTCGTTTAGTGGCTGTGCTAAAGGAAGAGTTCAAAGCATGATCATTCCTCTTCTGGAAAGAAGAATGCCTGGAAGACAGGCATCTCTTGTTAGGGGCTCTTTCAGGAATTTACTCTATGACCCTCTTCCCTTAAAGCAAGCTCTGAGACAAACAGAGGAACACTCGGTCTTACCAACACAGAGGGACCAGGACCGGATGCCAGGTGACCTCTTCAGATGAAGGAGGGAACTCGTGCGGTTTTCAACCAACATGTACATCTTCAAAAACTCCCAACAGCCCAGTGTGACTCATGAAACCTCACTGGACAAAACAAACAAACAAACAAACAAGAACTTTAAATCATTGAAGACTCCACTCCTCTCCCCTCCTAGCACTTTTTCAAGATTTATCAAGTCTTAATCTAGATTATATAAAATGTCCAGGGTAAGAACACAGTGTTTTTGCACAGGAAGAGCAACATGCATACTTAAAACAACCACAAAGAAAAACTGTTACGTGGAGAGTTGCATAACATCAACAGGAATCTGAACTCTTGGAGAAACTTCTCATTTTGAGTGGAGGAGTCTCTTCCTTTCTATCACAACCAGATTCCAGAAGAAAAGTGTGGAAAACAAGAACCAGGAACAATGTTGTTTCTAACTCATGCAGCCCCTCAAACAAATAAAACGAGAGCAGTGGCAAGTTCTTGGACAGCATTTTTCCTGTCAGCTGAAAGGGCTGTGTGAAGGACTAGTCTGGGAGCTGAGGCAGGTCACTGCAGCCTCCTGCACCTCTGACATCTCTCAGCCCTGATGACACACCAGGAAGGGGTTACAGCCACAGCCAGGCAGTGCCAGTGTCCCATAATGCCACAGATGGCATTCCCATCTTCTAAACCAACTCAAGAATATAACAAGGAGCTTCCAACAACAAGTATGTTTTTTTTTCCTCAACAAGACCATGCCTTCAGCCTAGGCAGAAACTAACAGTAGAGATTAAAAAGGTGGGTACTAATTAAAATCAGCAAGAGCTGGGCAATCCCATGCAGCATTTTCAAGTAAGTTTTTGCTCTTTACAGAATAAAATCAGGGAGTCATTTAGGTTGGAAAAGACCTCTAAGATCATGACGACCAACCATTAAGCCAGCACTGCCCAGTCCACCACCAAACCATGTCCCTAAGCACCATTCCCACCAGGGATCGTGACTCCAGCACTTCCCTGGGCAGCCTGTCCCACAGAACCAGTTCTAAGAGGTTGGCACTGAGTTGCCCTTAGCTGCCCATGATAACAGGTTTCCAGAAGAATGTCAGCATTCATCAGGTTTTGAATAACCATGAAAAACATGTAGAGAGCAGGCAGGCCCAAGCACATCCAGGTTCTTACAAAAGAAAAGTATGTGATTTTCAGTCCTTTAGTTATCCTGCTGTCCTTGGATGCAACATGACACTCCTGCAATTCTCTGCTACTTTGGATACAAAGCTCTAGGGGAGCGGATTTAGCCAAGTCCTTTCAGTTAAACAAAAAGCACCTATGACTTTGATTTTAATCTCTCAGCAACACATCTAAGAGCATCTGAAACCGAAAGAGCCAAAACCACTTATGCATGAGACACACTCCATCTCCTCCGGATGTCAAGCATTAAATTTTAATTTTCAAATGACTCCTGTGAGTTGCTCTCAACGTACCGGAAAATACCTCTGCACTTACAGCCCCTTCTCCTGCCTGCCAGCTAAAAGATATCTAAAGGTTATCAAATGCACAGAGATCACTGCAGAAATCTGGGTGCATTTCACAAATATGACACCCTACTTATAATTCACACAACTATGAGTTAAATGCGTTAATGCAAACTTTGGTCTCTCCCCCCATGTTCACTAAGTCATTAACCATTAATCACATCCATTAACCACGCAAATGAGTCTTGGCTTAATGTTGGACGCTCAGCATCAATGGAATTGTCTCTCACAGGTTGCTGTTTGCAAGAGAGGGGCCTCACGGGATAAAAAGCACCAAAGCAGCTTCTTAAATTTACATTTAATAAATAAATCATAAACGCGGCTTTAAGCGAATACAAAAGTTTAACTAGGAAAATTTGACGATTACAGACAAAGAGGTGGTTTTGGGCTGCTGTTTCAATTCAATTTCAAAACCTCAATTTTGCTTGAATTTGTTGGGTTTGCCATTAAACCGATCTCCAGCACCAAAATAAACATTCATATGCTTCCTCCAAGCCCTCGGCTGAGGGCGAGCCAGCAAAAGCCATTGAAAGGAGCACCTTGAAAGCTTCACCGCCAATATCCATCAGGTCAGGGCCACACATCAGGCGAATTTTCTTTACAGAGCGTATTTTTTCTTTACCTCCCACTCCTGCACCTGCTCCCCCCACCCACAGCGTTGGGGAGGCACAGGGGACCCTCCCCACACAGGGAGCAGCGCTGCCCAAATCCACCCAACGCGCGGGTTTTATTTCCCCACGCACCCCGAACCGAGGCCCCCGTTCCCCCTGCCCTCACCCCCGACTCCGCGGTACCTGCCCGGCTCCGGCCGCGCTCCGAAGGACCCGCAGCCGCCGCGACTCCCGCGCCCTCGCACAGAACCCGCCTCAGGGAGGGCCGGACGCGCCCGCCGCCATTTTGGGTGAGGGCAAAGGACGGGCACGCGAACCGCCCCTCCGGGCAGGGCGAGGGCAGCGCCAAGATGGCGGCGCGCTGCCAGTACTCAACATGGCGCCTGTGCCCGCGGTTGCAGCCGAAGTAAGAGTGTCGATTTTTCCGTGGTTATATTACCTTAGCGGTGCTAAAAACGAGGGGAAAGCTCGTGCGCTGGCGGATGAGAGGAGTGCAGTGCTGTAGGGTGAGGCTGGGTGTGCGGGAGAGCCTTGCTGGGCACAGTTTGATAGACCCGCGCTGGGTGAGGTGGACACGGCCCCGTGCGTGAGGCGGTCAGGGAGGCCGAGGAGCCCCTGTGGGCTGTCCTCCTGCTCAGGGTGTCCCTGTGGAGGTCGGGGCACCTCTGGGCTCCCAATGGCAGCACTTGGGGCACCACTGTCACAGAGTGCTTGCACTGTGCTGCAGCCATCACAGAATCACAGAATATTTAGGGTTGGAAGGGACCCCTGGGGATCCCCCAGTCCAACCCCTGCCCAGGCAGGGTCACCTGGAGCAGGTGACACAGGAACACGTCCAGGTGGGTTTGGAATGTCTCCAGAGAGGGAGACTCCACGCCCTCCCTGGGCAGCCGTTCCAGTGCTTTGCCACCCTCCATGGAAAGATGTTGTCCTTCTATTGAGGTGGAACTTCTTGTGTCTTAGTTTATGGCCATTGCTCCTTGTTCTGTAACTGCACACCACTGAAAAGAGTCTGGCACCATCCTCTTGGCAACCCTTGGATATATTTATATGCATTAATGAGATCCTTCTTGGTCTTCTCCAGACTTACCAGGCCCAGCTCCCACAGTTTCTCCTCAGAGAGATGCTCCAGACCCCTCATCATTTCTGTGGCCTCTCCTGGACCCTTTCCAGTAGCTCCTTGTCATTCTTGTACTGCTTCTACACCTGGTAATGCTTCTTATCTCTGTGTACGGGCAGGAGGCTGCAGGAGGGTGAGGTTTGTAGTGATTTCTCAGTGTCACAAAGTTGTCTCAGTGTCTCCTCAGAGAAGTCCCACAGTGGGACCTGGATTCCCATTGAACTGACTGCTTTAAGTTTCCCAGTCTTCAAAATGTAACTCTTGATACTTGTGAAGGGTTTTGCTCCTGCTGTTGTTTTTTTTTTTTCCCACTAGTAAATTGTATCTGTTGCCAATATGTTGGTTTATTCCAAGTTTAGTAATACTTGGTATTTTTAAGCCTTAGCTTTCAGCTTTGATAGCTAGGATGGTTATAAGAATTGAATGCAAGGTGTTTTTGTATAGCTTTTATAATTGTAAACAGAATCCTCAAAAAATTCATGTCATTGTTAAAAAACTCAGGGGGATTTGCAAAGCAGAAATATCAGTGATAATCAACAGTTCAACCTTAGTGAATTGTGTATCAGCTAAATGTTGGGTTTGAAAATCTCTTGTTTGGAGAGGAAAGTTTCTGGCTCATTTGAAATACTGAGTGACTTTCCTGTCGAGGACAAGTAGGCTAGATTTGGAAAATCCTTTGTGTTTCAGTTAAACATCATTCATATGGAAAAAGCTGTTCCTGTTCAATCCATGTCAGGCAGGAGGGGTGAAGTGCACACATCTGTAGTTTTGTTTAACTTCTTAAATTCCTGTCATGTAAATCAATGTATAACTTCACCTATGAATGATATTTGGTCCTCTCTACGTTGCACAGGAATGTCCTTCCTGGATGACATCTGATAGCAACTGATCTGCAATTTTTGTGTAATTCTGTTAATGGGAAAAGGCACTGAGGAACTGCAGGAATGAATTGGCCTCCCTGTGAGTCACGAGGTGCCAGCTGCTGGATTTGGATGAAAAATAGGAAGTAATAAGTATCACGTGTCCTCAACCCAAACAAGCAGCTGACTGAGTCTTCTGGGAAGAAATTTATGTCTAATCAGTTGTCAATCAGTTTTTGTGAGCAGCTGGTTTCTCTGGAAACCAAATATTAAGCCATTTTGAGTGACACAAGACAAAAGACTTCTTGTCTCTAGAGCAAAGTGAAATAAGTAAGAAATTCATCTGTCCCCTGCACTCAGCATTAACCACACAACATATCTCTTTGTTTTAATCTTGTTACTAGCTGCAAAAATATTGCAGTTCTGCACTTCTCCAGTTCTGCAAAGGCCATGGGCAAATAACCTGATATGACTTAATTTAATTATGAAGTTAGACAGAAATTATTTCAACCATGGGAAATGCCACACACACTCAAAACTGGAATATGGCAAAGATCCTTGCAAGCTTCTCCTATCTGTTAATGATTCTTACAGCATTTTTTCTAAAATCTGGGGGTTTTTACACCAGCATTTTGAAGGAGGTGAGTGGTGTTGTGCCTACCAAATAAAAAAAGGGAGACAAAACACATTTTAAAAGCCTGATCTTGGACTTAAAGAATAGCATGAATTCCAAAACGTGTTGCTGCAGAAACAAAAACTATTTGCCAAAATAAACATTCAGGAATATGTAGTTGACTGTTTGTAGACTTCTTGCTCGATAATATAAAAATAGATTCTCTGGAAGTATAGAAATGGAATTTGTAGAGTAAATACACTTGTAACTGTTAATTCACTGATCTAAACCCAAGAATGTGCAGATATAACAGAACTGGCCTTTATTTTGCATTAGTTTGACATTACTGTATTTCTGGTCCTTTTTCCTAATTTCAGACCATTCTCCTAAATATTCCTTTCTAGCTCCTTACACTTCTTTTTTTTTTTTTTTCTTCCTCTTCCAAGGTCTTAAACTTAGAAATTCAGCTGTGCAATAAGCATGTGATCTCATCAGCATGCCAGGAGAAATTCCCAGAGTGCCTGATCCTCAGCAGTTGGTTGGAAGCACCCCCAGCCCAGGGTTGTTTTGTGGCTGGACGGAATTGGCTGCGAGTCCTGGTAGGAATGAGCTCATCCCAAGGAGTGAGCTCTGCCTGGTGTCCCCTGACCTCTGTGGGAACAGCGTGTGTGCAGCCTGCAGAGCACTGATTTCATGGAATACATGTTTACCAGCTGCAGCCAAGATTTATTGCCCAATTCTGAGTGCTGTGGGGTGGCCTGTGCAGTCACTGAGGTGAGGAGGCATTTACAGCTGGCAGTGCCTTGCAGAACTGATGTTCAGCCTGTAACAGTTTCTTCAGTTGCTTGCAACAATTTGTTTTCACAGAGAATGCTTATTTCTCCATTTTATTCAGAGTGTAAATGTTTCAGGTGCAGGGATAAATGTTACATGGAGGGATGGAGGCCAAATACATCAAGAGTGGCCCTAAAAGCAAGTAATACCTTTAAGTGCTACCCTACTGTTGACATAGGAAAGCTTTTAGGTGGTGAGGTTTTTGGGAAGTAGCTTTGCAAAGGTGGTAACTGTTACCTCCCCAGGGCACCTTAAAGCAGGATGGTGCTTTCTTGTCTGAGGTTATCAGGCTTGTTGTGATGGTGGCTCATGTATCTGGTGTCCTGTGGGAAAATGGCATCCATAGCTAATGGAAAGCAGAGGGTGCTCTTGGCAATAAAATATATGGGACATCTAATTATCTAATGATTAGATAATAATTATTAGATAATAGATAATAATTAGATAAGTATGATCTTATACTGTGCACTGAAACAGAGACTCTTTGCACACTCTTCAGTTTGTATAAGTTTTTGCTCTTTTTGTTTGAATCCTTAAATTGAAAATAATTCAGTCCAGGTATTCTTAAGCTAGAAGATGAAATAGGAATACTTGAAGTTTGTACCAAAGATGTCTTTAATATTTCTGCAAATGTTTCAATTTCCATGCAGTTCTCTGGTTTTCATTGTGAATATGAAGAAATATGGGGGAAAATTTAATCTACTGCCTTTTGATGATGTGCAGAAGCACAACCAGTCCTGTAACAGATGAGTAAGTTGGTTGCCCAGAGAGATTGTAGATCCCCATCCCTGGAAGTGTCTAAAGCCAGGCTGGACAGGGCTTGGAGTAACCTGGTCTAGTGGAAAGTGTCCCTGCTCATGGCAGGGGGTGGAACAAGATGACCTTCAAAAGTCCCTTCCAACCCAAACCATTCCATGATTCTGTGAAATAAAAATTACTTTAAATATGATCTGCACAGTTACAGAAACATCCAAAACTGACATGTCTTTTGGAGAATCACAGTATCAATTTTGGATAATGAATATAAGCATAATCATCAAAATGTGAAACAGAAGGATTTTAGCAACACATTCCAACTTTCTTCTCTGCTATTTCCATATTGGTCAATGCAACTGTGGCTGTTGTGTCCAGGTGGAATAAGCTGGGAGGTTTGCACAGCTTTTTAGTATGAAAATACTCATTCAAAGGAGCAGGAAAGAAGATGTCAAATAATGCTGCATTCCAGCATGAAATTGCAAGGAAATGCAAATTCTTAGGTCGAATAGGAATTGCTCTGGAATGGTTGTGGTGCTTTTAGAAAGCTTGGGTTAACATGCTAATGTGAAATGTGAGAGTGTTTTCAATGAAGAGGACAGACACAGAAAATTATTACCAAAGCTATTACAGTTTCTACCTCAAGCCAGGATTTAGTGATTTTTTTCCAGGGTATATGTAAATAATCAGCAGCTTATTTTCCTTTAAATGGGCAGTAAGAAAGTTTCTGTTTGCTTTCATTATGGTAAAGGTAAGGAATTCTTGATTTCTTTGACCTCAATGATAACTTGCCTGTAGTCTGTAAATTAAAGAAGAAAAGCCCACATTATTTTTACATTCTTGTCTGAGGTTGAAATGAAAGAAATGAAATGAAAGAAGTAGTTAGAGCTGTGTCCTTGGGTGACAAACCTCTGTGGCCGTGCCTGTCTCCAGCCCTTGTGCTCAAAACCTGTGTGTGGATTAACGCCTTAGAGTTCCCTGTACCAGGAGGGGATTTCCCGGGGGCACTGGGTAAAGGAAAGTTGCAGTTCAGGCAGGAAATTGCACGTTCGTTGGAAGTTCTGCGGTTTGATTTCTAAAATGTCATTTTACACTAGACAAACTTCCCTGCGCAGCTGTAGGCGTGTGCTGTGCGCGTTCACGGGGGCTAAAGGAGCAGCAAAATGTGGATTGAACCTTTCTGTCAAAGGACCACAACCCGAGGCTTAGAAAGACAAGAAATCACAAGCACCTTAATTAATATCTTGGGGCAGTGTGAGGCTGATGTGCCCGTTTAATAACGCTGGACATAAGGGTGTGCAGCATCGCTGGGTACTTGTGTTTTGTTACGGAAACGCGAGATCGCAGCACCCCGGTTAAATAAAATGGTGATGGGGCCGTATTTAGCAACTCGCAGGGTGTCGTTTCATTTTAGAATTAAAATGAGAAAACAGAAATCG